AGGGGCAGCAGAGGGGCCTCCCATGCCCAATGGGCTTCCATTCCCACCCAGCCCTGGGGAGACAGTGGGGACCTAACTGCAGCAGGGGCAGCACCCCAGCCTCCACCCCAGGGGCGGCCCCGGAGAGGGCCCTGCTCACCTGAGCTCTTGGCTGATACCCCACCCAGGCTGAGCAGGCCCTGCTGAGCGCCCGGGTTTTAAGACCAGAGGGCGTGGGACGGGGTCTCCCACCCTCCTTGCAGCACAGCCTTGTGGGCATCACGAGCAAGTGGGGTTCAGCTCAATCCCTCCCCACAGGACTTGGGAAGGAGACCCTCCCACCCACCGCGTCCACGTGGAAGGCAGGCCCGCACCTGCTGGCTGGGTGACCCGGGCATACTCCCAGGCTCCCGGCTTCCGTCCACCATCTCCACTGAGAGGCTGGAGGGGTCAGTGAGGCACACGGGGAGCCTGGCTGGTCCTGGTCCTGGATATCAGGTGTCACTGCACCCACAGGGCAGTGGACCCCATCCATATGTAGCACCCGTGGTGCCAGAAGTGAAGTGACAGGGTCCTGTCCCTAAGGCAGAAAGAGGGGCTGAGCCCTAGCAAGAGGCAGCGCAGGAAGGCCACTCACCACAAAGGCCAGAGACAGCACCAGGAGCATTCCTTACCCCACAGAAGCAGAGGCCACGCTGGCCGGTGGTGGTTCTGCCTCCCACCCTCAGGGCCAGGGACAGTTCAGAAAGGACAGGCCTTCAGGCACCCCCGACTCTGACCCTTGGCTCCATGACCAATGTGCCCTGATGCAGCACCTGGCCTATCCCCAGACGTTCTCCAAACACTCAGGCCACCTCTCCAGTCACCAAGGAGAGCAGCAGGGAGCAGAGGGGAGACTTAGTGTGACCAAGCTGACCCTCTGGCCACCAGCTGCAGATGCCATGGGCTGAGTACACACCTCCAGCCCCGCGGACCCCAGGCTGGTAGGCACCTGAGTCCCTCGCCGTTCAGCCCTGGCACAACCTTCGCCTCATGGCTCGTCCTGCCCCTACCCTGCCCAGGCCCATGGGCAACTCCAGGGCAGGGACGTGGTGACAGTTTGTGGCCAGGGCTCAACGCACGCATGCCAGGAGGCCAGCAGCAACGCTGTGGTTCTGTAGTAGCCTCAGTGCGTGGACAGGGTTTCCTGGGCAGCAGGACGCCGGTCCCCTCCCATCCCAAGTCCGGGCAGCCCAGATGTGAGGAACAAGTCTCACCTGCTGCCCTCATCCTCAGACGCCCCAGGAGTGGCTGCGGGGACCTGCCCGGGGCCTGTGCAAGCTGCATATCTCTGGGCACCCCTGCTCTCCAGGCCACCTCTCCTCCCGCCATCTCTGCTGGGCAGCCTCTGACCACAGGGGCCTCCAACAGGGCTCTGACCAGAGTCGGCGTCCTGGGAGGCCCAGAGGGAGAGCCCCTCCCCCCCGGGGGAAGACATGCCCCGTCCCCACGCTCGTGGGTGTGGATTTGCAGCTACGAGGTCATCAGAGTGGTGAGGGATGGTGTCAGTGGCCTTCTGAGGGAAGCAGGGCCATGTGGCAGGCTTGGGATCTTGCCTTGGTGACCCTGGCCAGGTTAGGCAGTGGCCTGAGGCCTCACAGCTGCAAGTACTGTCTCCTGAACACCTGGCTGCAGAGCCTGAGCTCAGTAAACCTCAGTTCTCTATAAACCACCCAGCCCACGGCATTCCGTCACAGCCTCAGAAAGCGGATTGAGACAGGCTGTCGCCCTCCTCGCTCACTCTCACGAGCTTGGTGCCAACACAGATGCACTGTGGGCCCCCGGCTCATGGCACGGCTCTGGCGGGAAGGGACAGGGATAAGCCAGCCCGTGGGAGTCTCCAGGGAAATATAGGAGATGCCCTTGCAGCTCCAGGAGGCCATGAGGACAGCCTCGAAGAGAAGCTGGAGCTCAGTGTCAACAGCCGGCAGGACCAGGACTCTGTCCCAGGGCCTGCCCAAGGCCAGGGTGACGGGAGACCCCAGGCTGATCCAGACCAGAGAGGCAGAGCAGGCCCCTGGAGGAAGGGTCTCATCTGGCTCCCTGGCCCCTGCAGGCCCAGCAGGGCGCCAGGGACCTCCCCTTCCTCAGGCCACCTGGGCCACCCCGTCACCTTTCCCGACAGCCCTGACCACCTGTGTGAGGAGCAGCAACTCTCCAGTTGGCTTTCCCTTTCTCTCACCCCGGCCACTCCTGGTTCCCAGACACACCAGGCCCGAGTGTCCACAGCCACTGGGTGGCACACAGCACGTGGCAAACTCCCGTCCCCACTGTGGTACAGGAGGGTCCTCTTGGCTGCCACGGGAGAGAGGGAGGTGCCTGGGGAGCTGGAAGACCCGCACATCTTGCCCTCTGGGGGTGGACACCAGCTGAGAGGGTGCCGAGCAGGAGGAGGGTGCCAGGCCTCCCTGGGGCGTGGCCTGGTGGCACCTCATCCTGCCTCCAGGTGCTCCGCCCCTCATCCCACCTCTGCACAGGTTCCCACAGAAGCAGCCCCTCACATGAGGGGGAAAGACCCCTTGGCTCCCCACACAGGGCAGGGGTCAGCTAGGTGGCCAGAGGAGGGAAATGAAGCTACTCACACCCAGGACACAGACAATGGACTCCTGTCAGGCCACAGCAGCCCCGTGTGGGGAGGCCAGGGCCACCGGGACAGAACACCCTCCACAGCTCCAGGCCCCTCGCTCCGAGTCCTCTACCCAGAGCAGACCTCTGCCCAGAGAGGCTCTCCAGTGAGCCTGGGGCTTCAGAGTGGTACCCATGTTCCCAAAATACAGGGAGAAGGGGACAGCAAACCAGCCCAGGGACACAGAGGGAGGCAGAGAGAGTGACAACTGGCAGTTGGGACTTCGGTATCCAGAAGGTGGTCATGGGCCTGAAATGGTGGCTGAGAGCCCAAAGGCTCCAGGGGTCACCAGGGTCCTGCTGGGAAGGAATCCGACTCTGGACACAGAAACGGCCACCCTGGGAGGGCTTTGGGGTCAGATCTCAACTGTGAGAGGATGGGATCTGGGAAGGCACCCATTACAGCCAGTAGCCCCGAGGAGGGCCCGGTCAGCAGGGGGCCCTGGGGTCTTTCACAGAGGAGATGTGTCACTGTGGACGCAATCTCAGCCTGGGACCTCAAAGGCCAGGGCCAAGACAGTCGCACCCCTCCCCACAGTCAGCCGGCACCTCTTCAGAGCCAGGAGACCCACCAGGAGGCAGGAGGACCTCAGGCCTGGTGCAGCTCCAGCCCCCAAGCCAGGGTTGGGGAGGCGAGGAGATAGAGGGGAAGAGATCCCGCTGGGACCCAAGGGCAGCAGGGCTAAGGCCGGAGGGTGGAGGGAGCAAGTGCACTGGCCCCCTCCTGCCAGACACCCCGCACGCGAGAAGACCGGCCTCATCTGCAAAGTGGCTGCAGGCAAGCATTCCCAACATCCCCGTGGAGAACAGGGGAGAACAGGGACGCTGGCAGGGCCAGGAAACAAATCCAACTGCTAGGACCAGAGCCAAGACTTCCAGGTGCACTGAACCGTCACCCGCCACCTCAATCTCCCAGTGGGCAGCACAGGGGTCTCTGAGGGTCTTAGAGCTGAGGTGATTCCAGGGGCAACCATGCCCAGCTCTGCTGGGCATCTTCCCTCATCCTTGGGCATCCAGCCTCCACCTGCCCAGGACCCCTTGGCTCCAGGTGAGGGGTTAGGGGAGAGAGGGCCCGCTGCGCTGCCTGTGCTGCCCATCCACAGCTCTGGGACGTCTGAATGCCAGAGCCGCGCACCCAGAGCTCACAGCGCCCACACCGCCTGCTTCCCCAGGAGAGAGGCTCTGGGCTTCCTCCCTCACTCACTCGGGGGCTCCTTTCTAATCAGCCCATGTGAAATCAACTCGGGATGCAGCCTACAATCACCTGGGGGACAGCTAGGGGCCTGGGAGTCCTTGAAGACTTCCTGCTGGGCCCAGAAGCCTCTGGAAACCTGGGAGATCCAGAGGGGCCTGCCTGCAGGGCCTGGGGGAGGCGCAGGCCAGCAGAAGGGCATCTCCTCGCAGACACACTGGGTCCACTCTCTGACCTCCACCAGCACAGGGGACAGGACCCAGATGGTGGAGGGTCCAGGCCATCTGGGAAACCAGAACTGTGCCAGCGGCTCACCTCCTGCAGATCTCCCAACACGTCAAGCCCCACACAGGCACTCCCTCTGCCCCAGTCTTGTTCCGTACTGCATCTGCCTGGTGGCCTCCAAGTTGTCCCCACGACCCCAGCTCAAACGCCACTTCCACTGGGATGTCCTCTGGAGCTCCCTTGGGAAGGGCCCCTCTCTCCCTGGTCTTCCTGGGCCCCCAGGATAGGCCACACTGTGCCACCCTCACCCACTTGCAGCAGGTCTACCAGCTGTCCTGTGAGCTGCATGGGAACCAGGTCCCCACACTGGTCCCCTGGTACCCTCCTAGCTTGGTCAACACAGTAAACCTCCCCAGAACGCATGGATGAGTATCGCTGGCCCACATGCACAGCCTCAGAGCACCCACAGGCCAGTCCCACTCCCGAGGTCAGCAGAGGGTCCCTGGGCTGTGACCTGCTCGGGGGATCTCCTCCCAGTACAACTGGCATCTAGTAGGGCTGCCGGAAACTCAGGACACATGTCACAGGGGCTCCAGGACAAACAGTCTTCCTCAAGTGAGGTTCGAGAACTTAGGCCCAGGTGATAGTCCAAGGCACCCAGCATCTCCATCACCAGAGGATGGTCCCACCCACAATTCCAGGTGGGGGATCCCTAGAGCCGGCGTGATCGTCTGCCCCATGGGAACACCCCAGGTGATAGCCCAAGGCCACTCAGCATCTCCATCACCAGAGGATGGTCCTACCCACAGTTCCAGGTGGGGGATCCCTAGAGCCGGGGTGATCGTCTGCCCCAAGGGAACCCTGGGCATACGTGGGGCCCCAGAGTTCTTGCCCCTGGGCCCGCCCTCCCCGAGGGCTGTGCCCTGCGGCTGGCGCCTACCTTGCGCTTCTTGGCACGTCCCTCGGCCTGCAGGGTGCGGGTGCAGCGCTGCACACACTCGGAGAAGCTGAGGTTGCTGTGGTCGGCGCTGTAGTCGAGGTCTGCCAGGCGGGCCAAGGACAGGATGTAGTTACAGGCGATCCTCAGGATGGCCAGCTTGGACAGCTTCTGCCCATAGGAGTAGCACGGCACCTGGGGGCAGGGGAGGAATGAGGAGGACCGCAGGACGGCGCCCCCACCCCTTGGCCTGGCAGCACAGCAGGGTGGCCATGGAAGGTGTGGCTGAGCCTCCACCCAACTCCACAGCTGTGCTAAGCACCTGGGCTCCTCTGCTGAGGAGCCCTGGGGTGTGTCCACATCCCATGCTGCAGGGGGACACTGAGGCTCAGCTCATGCCTCGTCAGTCTGAACAGAAGCATGGTGGTGACCCCGAGGCATGGCACCACCTGACTGAGGAGCTGGGGATGGCAGCGCAGGAACAGAGGGCAGCACTGCGGGGGCCCCACAGCAAGACCCTCTGGTCCACACTCTCAGTAGTGCCAAGGACAAAAGTCCCTCTGCCAGGCCCCAAGGATTAAGCTTGAACACAACAGTGGCCTCACTGTGATCCACCTCAACCCCGCTTTGTCCAGCAGCGTTCCTGGACCTCGTCACGTCCACCATACACCAAAAGGGGCCCCTGCCCTCCACGGTGTGCTGACAGCACCAGCTGTCCTCGGCTCCGGGGCTCTAGTGCTCACTGCCCTGTGACCTGGGGAAGCCCTTGTCTGCAGAGCTCAAGGTCCTGGATGAGGGAGTGGGGGACATATGAATGGCCCTTCCACCTTCACCAGGTGGCTCCAGGAAGTTTGGAACCAGGTTCAAAAGTCTTTTGTCACCGATGATGCCACCACACATGCATCTCTGTCACTACGGTCAACTCTTGGCTCTCCCTCGGGCAAGGGGCATGATCTCTTGGAGCTTCGGCTCTGCGTCACACCATGAGCAGGTCTGCCCTCGCAGTGAAAGATTCAGTTCTCAGCAAGGCCTGGCAGCGGTCAGCAGAATCACCACAGCCGGAGCTGCAGAGGTCCCCAAGGCAGCAGCGCCAAGAGGGCGCGCAGCAACAGCCCTGAGCCTGGACATGACACTTGCCCAGCCCGATCCCTGGGGAACCTGCGACTAGGAAGCCAGGGCGGGGAGCAAGGCGACAGAGAGAAGCCAACTCTCCTGCGTCCCCCTCCCAGTCCTGGACGCAGCTCCAAACCCATCCAAGAAAAGCTGGCAGAACAATGTGCTTTGCTTGTCCCCGGCCCGAGTCCAGAAAATCCGACTTTATCAGCTTGAACAAACAAACAACACCACAGTCCTGGGCAGGGAAGGGGTCCCCAGGGCCAGCCCGGCACCTCTGCCTGCTCCTTACCCGGGAGGTGGTGTCTGCATGTGTGTGGTGTCGGAGGGGAGCAAGAGTGTCCAAGGACCAGGCGTGGCCCTGTTGTCACCCAGAGGCCACTCTGGGAGCTGCTGCTGCAAAGCCTGCTCTGTGCCCTGGGACCAGGAGCAGCTGGGCTCTACCCAGAGTCACTGCTGGACCACAAAGCAACAGGTGAGGTCAAGGTCAATGCAGGCAGGGCCCATGCCGATTCTGGGCCACTTGTGCCCCAGATTTGTCACTCTGTCACCTTGCCCTATCAAGCTCCAGGTCTAACCAGGAGAAAACAAGGATTGAGTCCTGGTGGACCTGGCAGCTATTCGAAGGTAGAGTGACCATTTAAAACCTGCCCGGGGGCTGGGGCTGCAGGTCAGTGGTGAGCGCTAGCCTAGCACGTGTGAGGCACCAGGTTCCATCCTCAGCACCACATAAAAATGAATTTGAGAAAAGGTATCATGTCCATCTACAGGAAAAAAAAATGCCCCCAGATGAAGACGGAAGTCCCATCCGCACACAGGAAACAGATGACATGTGGGGCCCAGGTCATCAGATGAGGCTGGCAGGGTCCCGAAGCTTGTCTGACCTGCACCCAGAGCAGGGACCTGCCCAGGGCGGCAACATTCCCAGAGTGCTACGCCCCCGGACACTAGGCGACCTAGGACACCACCAGTGCCTAGTGTCCCCGCACACTCAGTCCCTGGGGTGAAGTGCCCTACTCAGAACCCTCAAGGTCCCTGTCTGTGAAAGTCCTTTAGCATGTCCGTCGTCAACCTCCCCCATGGCCACGAGGCCACAACAACAGCCACTAACCCAGGGCATCCTGGTTGAGGGCCACAGACAGGGCCAGACTGCCCTGGGGCCAGATGCTGGTCACTCGTGTCTGCTCTGTAAGTGCCCCCCCCCCCCGGACAGAGGACAGGCAGCCGTTGACAGGCGATAATAATCCATGGAGAGAGGCTCGGCAAGCAACCCCCTGGCAAGCAGACACGGACAGGGGGGACCCCGTCTCTCACCCACCTGTGGAGCCCCTGCAAGTAGACCTGTCCCCCACTGCCTGAAGGGGTGTCCCCCTTCCTCCTGTGGGACTGAGAAGTGAGGGAGGTGCTAAGCGGAGGCGACTCTCCTCAGGCCCCCCTGAGGTCCCACCCTGCGTCCACTCGGTGAGAACCCCTGGAGACTCCAGGAGCACAGGGGAGGTCGCCCGGGCCCTGGCTCAGCTCCTCCTTAGTGACAGAGGCACCTCCTGAGGGTCCTGGCTGTCAGCCTTTGCTGTCATTGCTCTGTGAGGGAGAATGGACATCCACACGCAGGCCAGGATCTCAGGAGTGGGCATAGATGGGAGCCTGAGGTCTGGCCAGGAGGCTCAGGCCCTGGCCCTCCCGCCCCTGCCCAGTAAGGCTAGCCTTTCCTCCACTGTCCCACTTGGCTGGAGCACTGCACCAGCCCAGCTGTGCACACATGGCCTTCACGGGAGCATGGACTGGCCACACGTGCCTGCCACCTGCCACCCTGGCCACCCCCTCCTACAGTCTACCTGCAGCCCCCGCACAGGCGCTCTTCCTGTTGGATGGGAAGCGAATCTTGTCCGGCCCCCTTGGGCTGAGGGTGGACAGCACCCAGGCCTCGGGCAGACGGAGGAGAAGAGTAACAAGAGCAGGATGCTGGAGCAGCTCAGGGGCCGAGGTGGATCCCCCTGCAGGCCAGCAGCACGGGCTCTGCAGGCTGCCCTGTGTGGGGCCATGGGGGCCCCACATTGGAGTGTGAAAAGTGGCATGTCAAGGTGGGGCCAGGCCACTGCAGAGGCCAAAGGCTCACAGAAGCTTACTGGCCTCGGGTCGCCAGATGAGAGAGGGCACAGGGTGGGGTGCAGGACAGCGGGGCAAGTGACTTAAGTGACTCGCACAGTAAGGTGCTCATTGGGGCAGTGGGGCGAGCATCTCAGGATGGGTGGTCTCCACTGCTGTCAGCAAGGTGACTGAGGGACTCCTGCTGCAGGATAACACCAGCCCTGCCAGCCCAGAGCTTGCAAACGTGGAGGAATGCACTCTCCCTGCCCCTCTGCCCCTCCTGACTTCACCTGCTCTTTGCAGAAAAGCTGTGGATGAGGTAAATCTTTGCACCATTCAGCAAATGAGGCTCAGAGAGGGAAAGCAACTTTCCCTCAGCGGAGAGAGCGGCGGAGGCCAGTTCCAAGCCCACCTGGACTCCCAGACCAGCGCTCTTTCCACTGTTCCAGGAAACCATGCAGGGAAAGGAGCCCCAGCCCGAGCCCATGGGGACCCTCGTCAACCAATGCCCCAGTTCCAGCAGAGCTACCTCCAGCCTTCCCAGCTTCCCGGGTCCATTTCCGACACTGGGGCCTGGGCCTACATCCAAGGACCCTGCCCACTGGACGGGCAGAGTGGTGAGTGCCCGTTATAGGTGGGAGACTGAGGCCACTTGAGGAAGGAGCTCCTCTGAGGCCCAGGGCCCTCCTCATCAGGCCAGTGCTAGCATGGTAGGGACATGCCCTCCTCAGACCATGGGCAGGTATCCACTGCTGCTAAGCAGCCTTGCTAGGGAAGGGACAGAATGGTGGCAGCAAACAGTAAAGGGCTGGAGCAGGCGCTGCCGCCGCTATCAGCATGTGCTTTGGACTTGTGATGAATTGTGCACAGGGTGTGCCTGACTACAATGTGTGCACACACTTGCTCAGTGAGAGGCCAGGCTCACACTGTTGGTCAGCCGAGGCACCGTCCGCCCATGCCATGATGCCACAGCACTGAGAGCTGGCCTCGGGGGCATTCCAGAGACCATTGCTGTCTCCTCTAACCCACCAGGTGGCCTTGGACAAGTCTCCTCCCTTCTCCTGGCCTCAGCTTTCTTTTACATAAAGTGGGTTGATCCAAGCCTGACAGGAATGGTGAGATCAAACAAGATGGTAGCCATGGATAATGGCCCATGCCTGGGATCCCAGCAACTCAGGAGGCTGAGGCAAGAGAATCACAAGTTCAAGGCCAGCCTCAGCACCTTAGTGAGACCCTGACTCAAAAATAAAAAATATAAAGGACTGGGTAGGTAGCTCAGTGGTGGAGCGCCCCTGGGTTTAATCCCCAGTACAAAAAAAAAAAATCAAATAAGATGGAATTCACTGTTGAAAGACGTGAAAGCACAGGTCAGATGAGGTGCAGCAGGCACCCAAGAGCATCTGTCCTCTCCTGGAAAGCGGAAGGCGGTGGGGGGGCGGAAGGGCCTCGGGGCACCCACTCACTTTCCCCCAGGGATGAGATTCTGAACACACAGCGTCTGGCTCAGGGGGGGTGTCCTAACCGCAAGGGGGGCAGGTGAGCAGGGGGCAGCCCCACACTCTCAGGGGGATGGACCGCGGGCCACCCCAAGCCGCTATTCTACCCAGGCACTCAGGCACGGAGCCCAGGACTGGGCTGACAGCTCCACTGGCCACTGCCCAGGGTCCCAGCTGGTGTGCTACAGGCACTGGCCCCGCCTGGTCTGTGACAGCCACCTGACTCCCACCCAACTCACTGACCAAACATCTCCTGTGAACTCAAACAAGACTCTCTGGTTCAGAAACCACAGAGCCTCCTTTCTCTGGGAAGGTTCAGTGTCCTTCCCATGGACCAATGCAGGCACCACTGCCCCACCCTACCCACAGGAGGAAGAGGAGAGTGTGACCCCAAAAGATGTTTCTGAAATGTTTTGTGGTTGGTTGAAGTCCAGAGAGGTTGAATAACTTTCCCAGAATCAAACAGCACATCAGATTCAGTGCAAGCAAAAAACCTCACCCATCAAGTCCACCACGTCCACCCCAGCACTTCCCAGGACCATGGTGGTATGGGGGAGACTTAACCCCCCTTTTCTACATCCCTCTTCTCTCTAAGAAAGTGAGAAGCCTGGAGGCCCAGGGCAGTATCGGCTTGGTCCAAAGTGGAAATGTGGGATTGCAAACCGTCCTCCTCTGTGGGCAATGCTGGGTTAAGATCTCCTCACCTCTTCAGAATGCTGTCCACTGAGGACGGCCCCCATGCCCTAGACTCACCCCCAGCTAGCTCCCAAGATGCCCGGAGAGAACCTGCAGCCAGCCAGTGCCTCCAGGGGAAGCCCAGCTCCTCCAGGAGATGCAGGGCAGCCGTGGGAGGAAACTCCTGGAAGGTTCCCCCCAGCAGTGTCTGAAGATGCCCCTGGGGAGGGTCCTAGGGGTGCCAGGCAAAGGTGCCAGGCCCGGATGCAAGCCTTGGGCACAGGGCATTTCTGCTGAGAGCTGGGGATTGAAGCAGGGCTAGTAAGTTCCTCAGCAACCCAGGACCATACCCCACAATGCTCTGGGCCTCGTGGCCACCAACCAAGCACCAAGATCCCAACCACCCAGCTTCCCAGAGGGAAAGGGTCCTCCTCCCCTGCCCAGCAGAGAAAGATTCCTGTATTCCCCAACTCTGTTCCCCAGAGCCCGGTGATTCCGGGAGACACATATTCCCTCATGTAAGTGATCACACTGTGTGGGCTGAAGTCAGCCCCAGAGATAGGGTCTCCAGGGAGCCAGGACCTGCAGGGCCAGAGATCTCCAACCTCCACTTTGTGAACTAAGATCCGCACAAACGCTGATTGCCCAAGCCTGTCTGGGATCCGGAACAGCTGTCGTTCAAACACACCCCTCCCTGCCAGCAACACTCGGCCCCCCACCGGCCCACTCCCGCAAGGGTCCCAAGGGTCCCCAGGGTCCCCGGCGCCCTGCGGCGTGAGGAAGAGCGGGTACCTGCTTCCTGAGCGCTTCGAAGGCTGCGCTGATGGTGTGCACCCGCGTCCGCTCCCGGGCGTTCGCCAGGAGCCTCCGGGTCTGCTGCAGGGCTTTGATCTCCGAGGAGGCGGCGGTCGCTTCGCCCGGCCGTTTCCTAGGCGACGCAGAAGAATCTGGGTGGTTATTGTAAATTACGTGTGAAATTGACGAGTAGGAACTTTCCCCCGGGCGCGTGGGGGGCGCAGGACGCACCGAGGAGTCCGCGGGCGCCGAGGGCACTGGGGGCTCTGGGGGTGCAGACAGTGCCGGGCGCGCAGGAGGTGCGCAGAGCAAGATGCGGGGACGCAGGCCGGGCTCCCGAAAAGGCTGTGCCTCGGGACCCCCAGGTGCCTGGCCCTGGGGCGCTGGAGGCGGCGGTGGCGTGGGGAGTCCCGGCCCCATTGCGCCCAGAGCGAAGCCGCGTTTCCGCGCGTCAGAGACCTCCGGCGCTCGGGGGCCCCCGCGGTCCCCGCCAGTATCCGCGCCCCCACCTGGGGGAACAGCCGGCGCCACTGGGGCTGGCACCGGGGCCGGGACCGGGACAGGCTGCAGCCTCTGGGTCCTGTCCCGAAGCCCGAGGGTGGCGGCGACGCGAGGCTCGGGAGCTTCCAAGTCCAATCGGAAAGTTTTACAGCCATTCGCGCGCCGCGCCGGCTCCTTGCCTTTCCGCTTCAGCTTCTTGAGGCCGTTCAGCTCCTTCACGCACACGGTCTTCCACGGCCCGTCCTCGAGGACCGGGATGTGCTTCATGGTGCGGACAGCGCGCGAGACAGGGACGTGGGGTGCCCGGGACGCGCGCCGGATGAGATTCTGAACACACAGCGTCTGGCTC